ACAATTCATTATTAGTCTTTTATTTCAGTGCTTGATAACAGCGTGTTATTACAATGCATTTCTAGACTCATTCTAGAGTATTACTCGTGACAAGGATAACTGAAGAATCACCTGTCACCATATTTAGTGTAATTTAGACCCTCATAGGCAGTGGTTCTCAACCTGTGGATCCTGGGCACTTTGGCCTACAACTCTCAGAAACCCCAGCCAGTTTACCAGCTGTTAGGATTTCTGGGAGTTGGAAGGCCAAAACATCAGGGGACGCACAGGTTGAGAACCACTGCTCATATGGGTTCTTCAGCATCTTCCATGGTACCATGGATAGTTACTAGGGAAAGAGCCTTCTCTTTGCTGGTGACCCAGCTCAAACAAAAAATCCTGAGTGATTAAAAAGCCAACATCTTAATCTAATCTTAATAACATCAAATGATTTCTTGAACTGGAGATGCCAGGCACCAAACCAAACCAAAGATATTCTACACATAAAGGAAGTGCGTTACTACTAAATACTGCTATATCTCCCGTTAACAAATGTTGAATCAAGTCATGCTTAGCAAAGATTATGGTAATTGAAATAAATGGAACTGAAGTTAATTAGACTTACTGAAGTTGAATTTATTTCACCATAACTACTACAATCATTTCTAAGCCTTCCTCAAACCCAGTAATCTTTACAGGTAAATAACAATGGTACTCGCTTTTTAACAAAATAATAAAATGTTGTCAGCAGAAACAAACTAAAATCTTGTTGCAAAGCAATTACAGATTATAAAACAAATGGGGTTTAACATTTATTTTTAGAAAATTAGCAAAATTGTAAATATATAGTAAAATTGTAGGTTTCCTTGTTGCCATTATGAATACAATTGAAGGCATAAATTTACAATGAGCTTCCAGTATAAAGTTCTGTTCTTTAAAATGGGTTTAAAGTTCTCCCAGTAAAACTGACCAAGATATCTTTTCCTTGGAGAATTATTGGGAGTGAAAATGAATAATCTGCAAAGCATGTTTATCCTTTATCACTAAGATAAAAGACATTTAAAAAGATAATTAAGCACACTATAGTAAGAAATTAGAACAATTAAAGAACATGAGGCACGCCCCTTTGACTTTCAAAGTAGACGCTCTCCAAAAACCGTTGCTAAAATAACTTACTATCGGTATCTCTAAGAACTGTTCAGTGTCAATGCGATTTCTTACAGTAGGGAGGATGACGGAGAGTTTAATTCCCACCCACACAATTTCAAGTAATGTAGAGAGATTTACTGTCAAACAAACATAAGAAAATTGATCTGTTGGTTGTGCACTGAAAAAGGATATCTCTACCTATTGTCACTGCAATTAACAAATGCATTTGTTGGAATGATCCAACAAACCAGTCTAGAGGAGTCAGGGGAAGAAATAAAAGAGCATTTATTATTATAAAAGAGCATATTATGAATCATACTCTCTGAGTATATGTGGTGATATGCAACAGAAATATTGTTAAAATTATTTCAGAACTCCATATGAATGCAACTCAAGTAAAACACAAATAAAATAAAATCCAGAACAACTAACATTACAAAATAAGAACATTACATCAAGAAGCAAACATTCTGTCGACCTAAGAAAAAATTGCAATTGGTCTTCCATAGCCATGGATTCAATCATCTACAGCTAAAAAAATATACTATTTCCAAAAAAAAATCCAATAAGCAATCCTTGGTTTTGCCATTTTACCTAAGAGACACAATTTGATGACTCCACTGTACATAATGGGAGTTGAGCATCCACTGATTTTCTTATCCATGGAGTATCCCGGAATCAAATCCAAGTGGATACTAATAGCCCACTGTAACAAGAGAAAGCTCTATGCTGCTTTATTGCCCTGTCCCAAAAGTTTGGTCCCACAACCAAGTTTTTACCATCCTTCTAAAGGACAGGAGAGAGGGGGGCGACCTGATCTCACCAGGAAGGGAGTTCCATAGCCAGGGAGCAATCACCAAGAAGGCCCTGTCTCTCATCCCCACCAATCGTGCCTGTGAGAATGGCGGGAGGGAAAGCAGGGCCTCCCCGAAGGATCTTAATCTCCGCAATGGTTCATAGGGAGAGATGTGTTTGGACAGGTAATTTGGGCCAGTGCCGTTTAGGGCTTTATAGGCCAAAGTCAGCACTAAATTGTGCCCAGTAGCAAACTGGCAGCCAGTAGAGCTGGTGTAATATGGGAGTTGTATGCTCCCTGTTATTAACTTAACTCTCGTTGGACTATTTGAAGCTTCCAAGCAGTCTTCAAAGGCAACCCCACGTAGAGTGTGTTGCAGTAATCTATCCTAGATGTAATGAGAGTGTGGATCTTCCTGAGAAAACCCTGTCCTGAGTACCCACCAACCCCCTTTGTAGTTAGTGAAATATATAATATGATATCTTGTAATGCTAGAAGTGGTTTTTCATTTAGTTCTGTACGAACCACAAAATAACAAACAGCATACCCAACTAAAAATGCCTCTGTTAACACCTAAATGTCTTCCAAAAATATTCACTGTAATGGAGAAGAAATGACCCAACACGAGAGAGCAGAGCTCTAGCGTCATTTCAATAAAACGAACATTTTGTAGCAACTTCAATGGAATAGTCATAAAGGGCATATTCCTATGATATACTCCCTTTCATGTCTTATGCAGGACAGGATGCAGTATTAGAAAGCTGGTGTAGTGGTTACTTCAGCCAAGAAGCCACTTGGCAGCTTAGAAAATCCAGTCTTATCTGCCAACTGCGACATGGAGGTAACAATGTTGAATAACTAAACAAAATTATTCTAAGAATGCCTCATAATATCTGCAAAATCTCAAGTATTATATAACTGCTGCCTTTCATTATAGCAAAAACTTATTGTGTTCACACATTCTGGAAGTAAGTTAAGAATAGAGTAGTGAAGCTATAAATCAACTATTTAAAGGACTGAGAGAAGAGAATGGTGATCCTGGGAAATGTTTCTATCTTGAATTGTATGATCTCATCCATCCTATCATATCACGCCACTCTTGTTGAACAAAATCACTGATGTTACTTACCAATACAGGAGTTTATATTTGCACATTGTAATTAGACATGATACTCGATTAAAAAATAGAAGTGGACACATCAATTCTAGCAAAAAGATTTAATAGAAGGGGTTACAATATTACTTGTAGCAAAAGAGCTTTCAAAATGCTAATTCTGGAAGTAGACAAAGGATTTTTTCCTCTTCATCCCCACCCAAAACTACATGAGCATACCACAATCTTTACCCAATGAGAACTGTACTTTGCAACCATGTATTCAAGCCTACCACTGGGCGTGACCAGCCGCTGCTATTACACTCTGATCCATTTTCCCCCTGTGAGAAAACCATTTGAAACTGGGGAAAAAATATCACAATGAAGACACCAAACAATCGGGCTGCACATCTCGGCATAGGCAGAGCAAAAAATGGCACTACATCTACATCCAGAAATACGTGCCGATGTATTATATTTCTGTTCAGAATACTTCTACTAATGTGAGGTCGGTAATTAAATATGGAGTGGGGTAGGATTGTAGAAGAGAGCTATCTTCATCCCCCCCCCCCCCCAACATACACACACACACTACACACCACACTACGCACTTATCTCACTCTGCTGTTACATCGCTACATCTACATCTGGAAATATGTGCTGGTAAATTATATTTCTGTTCAGAATATTATCTATTAATGTAAGGTTGGTAATTTAATTATGGGGTGAGACGGTGGAAGAGACGTGTTTTCGTTCTCAAGCGGAGCCCTAGCCTTGCTCTGTTGTCACACCCATGATTTTAAAACCCCAAAGGTAAATCCCATAATTTTGACCCATTTATAGAACAAAGCAACCCCTCCTCTAAAGTAGATGACCTAGATAGCATCCTTTCCCCCGTGAAAATACAGTAGCATAGAACACCTTTTCCTTTGGTAGGTTGTCAGTCTATTTTTCCCCCCCAATCACGCGAACGCTCTAAGCAATCCTGGAAATATGACATGGACTGCAAAACATGGCACCACCGATGTGAAAGGGAGGGGGAAGAGCCCATCCTTTTTCTCCCTCCGAGATCCACACCTACTGCAGCACCAACAGCCTATCATTCGCCATCTCCCTCACAATCAAAACCAGTCTTCCAAAGAGGAGCACAGACCTATGGGAGGGACCGGCAAAGGGAAAAAGAGGAGGGGGGAGCATGTCAAAAAACGGAGAAGAATAGAGAGTCCAAAGATGACATCCTTAAATTTTAACTGGAAGCATCACCGCCGCAAGAGAGCCATTTGTTCCATTTCATTGTTTTCTTTCTCCTTCAAGTCTCAAATGGAGGAAAAAGTCACCTGTGAATCCATAGATGGAGAATTCATTTGTGATGAATTGTGATTTTTTGATGATTTGATTTCTCTCCATCTAAAAAAATCCCTTCAAATGTCTTCCAATTATTAACATGCAAGGCTGCATTGTTTGAACACTATGACAAAGCATGTGTGTGTGTAGGAAAGAGCTGAAAGGCACACCTTTCTCCTGCAAGGAAGCCTATTGAGGTTCAGGAGAGACACACCCCTGCTGCTGCCCCATTTTGCCTCAGAAGAATCAATGGCTGTGGATGGAAATGGGCTATTTTTATTTTTATTTTTATTGCAATAAGCCCCAGAGGAGCAATTTCTCTCTCTGTGCCTATTGCCACATAAGCCTTGGCAGGTGGCAAGTGCATGGCTCATTCACTACAAGGCTCCTTTGGAGGGAGGGGTGTGGTTAAAGAAGAATAAAGTCCTATTTGAATGATAACAGAGACTGGGCAAATGGAAAGGCAGCATGAAGCAAGCCTCCCCTGTCTGGCATGGAGCTGGAACCGTGGTGCCATTGCTAGAGCGCTCCCTCATGCACCTCAAGGCTAATAAGCTCAGACCCTTCCCAACCTCAGCCCGCTTCCCAAGCCTTGCCAAGCCTCAAAGGGGCCTTTCCCCCCCTTCAGGGAAACCCTACCTGGCGCTGCGGCTGCGACCGCTGCTGCAGGGAGAGCTCGCTGGAAAAGCCTCGCTCACCAAAAGCCGGGAGGAGGGGGAGTGACAGCAGAGGAGAACGAGAGCGCGCCTCGCCTGCCGCGGCCGCGCGCACAAGCTCCCGAACCTTCGCCTATGAGAGTCCTCCCTATCGAGCCAGATGGGGCTCTGCCGCGCAGGCGCACTTCACACTTCGCTCTTGTCCTCTCTCGACGCCTCCCTTGCTTGCGCCTGCGCACGAGCGGACTCTGCTGGCGCTCCTTTTTCTAACCTGGTTCTTTGTCTCTGGGAAAAAAAGGGGGGACCGGCTTTGAAACAAAAAAAAGGTGCCCCTTCTTGCAAGGGTAAACTCGATCAAGGTAGGGATAATTCCACCAGAGAAGTCACTTGATAAACCAACCAACACATAATACTATTTGGAAACAGAGACATGCTGGACCACTCTTGACAGCCATCATGCCAGACTACACAGAGAAGCCATTGAAATCCACAAACGTGGACAATTTCAACAGAAAGGAGGAAAGCATGATAATCTGGTTACCAGTATTAATTAATCTTATCTATATAAATAAAAATCTAATGTTAATTTGTGGGATTTTTTTGCCAACAATGTGATGTGGCGGCAAAAAAGCCAATGGGATTTTGGCCTGCATCAATAGGAGCATAGTGTCTAGATCTAGGGAAGTAATGCTACCCCTCTATTCTGCTTCGGTTAGACCACACTTGGAATATTGTGTCGAATTGTGGTACCCAGAATTGGACACAATTCTGGACACCACAATTCAAGAGAGATATTGACAAGCTGGAATGTGTCCAGAGGAGAGCGACTAAAATGATAAACGGTCTGGAGAACAAGCCCTATGAGGAGCGGCTTAAGGAGCTGGGCATGTTTAGCCTGAAGAAGAGAAGGCTGAGAGGGGATATGATAGCCATGTATAAATATGTGAGAGGAAGCCACAGGGAGGAGGGAGCAAGCTTGTTTACTGCTTCCCTGGAGACTAGGATGCGGAACAATGGCTTCAAACTACAAGAAAGGAGATTCCATCTGAACATGAGGAAGAACTTCCTGACTGTGAGAGCCGTTCAGCAGTGGAACTCTCTGCCCTGGAGTGTGGTGGAGGCTCCTTCTTTGGAAGCTTTTAAACAGAGGCTGGATGGCCATCTGTTAGGGGTGATTTGAATGCAATATTCCTGCTTCTTGGCAGGGGGTTGGACTGGATGGCCCATGAGGTCTCTTCCAACTCTTTGATTCTATGATTCTATGATTAACATAACCTAAAAACCACTGGATGAATTGACACCAAATTTAGGCACAATACACCTATCAGACCAATGAGTGACCATCACGCATAAAAACACAGCAGAAGAGACTTAAAAACCAAAAATACATTACAACGCATGCACAAAACCACATATATACACAAACACACATATATACACATATACATAAATATATATACACACACATATACACATATATATACACACAAAACACATATGCACAGACCGGGCCACAGCAACGCGTGGCAGGGGATGGCTAGTCTATATAAATAAAAATGTAATGTTCGTTTGTGGGATTAACAAACTCAAAAACCACTGGACGAATTGACACCAAATTTGGACACAAGACACATATCATACCAACCAGTGACCATCACTCATAAAAACACTGAAAAACACTGCGGAAGGGACTGTAAAAGCCAAATAATAAACAATACATTACAATGCATGTGCAAAACCACATACACAAATATATACACACATATATACACACACAAAACACATATGCACAGACTGGGCCACAGCAACACGTGGCAGGGGACGGCTAATCTATATAAATAAAAATGTAATGTTCGTTTGTGGGACTAACAGAACTCAAAAACCACTGGATGAATTGACACCAAATTTGGACACGAGACACCTAACAACC